CAACCCGATCTCATGAAAGTGCGTATAAATAGTACGCCAAATAAAAACGAAAACTCGGGGCATTAATACGCAAAAATGGACTTTGGCGTGCATATGATACGCATGTGTTTGGCGTGCATAATACGCAGTTTTCGCGTACATATGATACGCATCTACCCCACAACCCTAAACCTACCCATCGCGTAGCATATACACGCCAAAGTCCATTTTTGCGTATTAATGCCCCGAGTTTTCTTTTTTATTTGGCGTACTATTTATACGCACTTTCATGAGATCGGGTTGAACTGTTAGACGAAATTTACGCCCCTGACTTGGTGTTAGGGGTTTGTTCAAATCACTAACCCTAAATATAAAGACTAATAATAGTGAATGTTGTTTTGTGAATTATAGTTGTTTAATGGAGTGTTTGATGTGCCAGTTGTCAGGAAGAGTTTGACTCAGGTGCCTCTGTTTGCATCTTTAGAGCTTCAGAGACTTTTTTGTGTGTGTTGTTGAATGGAAGTGTGTTGAAGCATGTGAGTGTTTCATGTCTCTGCCTTTGTGGCAGGTTTTCATTAAAGCTTGACCTCTGACCCCTGTGGGAGTTCATAAAACAGTGGCTCTCCACATTCTTACACCCAACCATCACATCGCAGGTTTTGCATCAGTGTTATTAAGTAAAACTAAAACTATTAAAAACTGTTAAATGAAATACATCTGAATTAAAATATAAAAATTAAAAACTTTAATAGACATTATAAATGTTAGCTTGGCAACTAACTGAAATATAATAAAGTGCTAAAATTACTAAAATTACACGTTACAATAAGGTCTGATTTTGTTCACCAGTTAACAAAATTATGTTTTTACAGCATTTTTACAGTTTTTTCAGTGCATTAGCGCATGTTAACAGAAACAACTTTTGACATTAAAAATGTATTCGTAAATGTAGAAATTAATATTAAACTGAAATTAATAAATGCTGTTGAAGCTCATTGAATGCTCATTGTTAGTTTGTCAACTAATGTAGTTACTTAATTTTCGGAAATGAAAACTAATAATTTTTATAATAATACTGTGCCACAATCACTCACATTTACTTCGGAAAATGCAAAAAAAATAAAATAAATATATATATATATATATATATTAAAACGATAAGTGGAACATGTATTAAATTAAATTAAATTAAAAATTAATAGAAAGAAAGAAGGTTCAGTCTTACTTTTAAAAAATTACATTTAATTGTTAAATGTGTTACTTGTCATCTTTTTGTCATTGTTTGTTTGCAGTACTAGCAATTCCTGAATGAAAATTGTTTCTACACTAATTTTTCAGTGCAGGAAACTAGATTTTCAACAGAGAGAAAGTGAAGTGAAAGACAGGAAGAGAAAAAGAAACATGATGAACTGATTAGAGCTCTTAAAGAAGATAAAAGCAGTTCTTTTGTTCACGATGAGATGCTGTGTGTGTGTGTGTGTGTGTTGACAATGCACATTTGCTTTCATTTAAACACATTGTTTAAACATAAAGGCATAGAGCTCTTTGTTTATGTGTGTTTCTCATTACAGATCCTCTTCAAAACAACAGACACACACTCTTAATGTCTGGATCCCTTCAGGACTTTTTCTCCTTACACGTCTGCTGTTATATTTCACCCTCTGCTTTGCTTCATTATCTGGTTGTTTGTGTTCTTCAGGACAGACTCTTGGCCAGTAATTGGCTCGGTTGTGGCCAGACTGCACAATGACGGCCGCATTGATGATGTAATGAGAGCTGGAGTGGCCGGCCAATCGGAAGGCAGGAGCCGAGTTCTCAGGCAGCTGATTGGTTGGCTCAGTGTCACGATGTCTCCAGGTAGCGAGGGAATGTGGGAGAGTATGTGGCTGTTTGTGAAGGGTGGAGTCAGAGAGAGAGAAGGATGGACTGCTAATTCAGAAGTCTTCATTAAGACTTTGGCAGTGAATTTGGACCAAACAACCGAAAACATAATGTTAAGAGTCTCTCAGAGCTCTCAGCAATAGTTCTGGCCTCTCTTCCTCTCTCTTAGCAAATTTCAGTGTCAATTTCAAAGTGCTTTGAAT